AAAAGGAGTAAACGTCATCACTTAGCACTTGATCAGCGAAAGGACTGCATTGTATTCATTCATATTGTACAGATGTGCGCATGATTATAATGCTGTCTGTTATCTACATGCATACCTAGCATAGCTATTACCAATCCGCGACTCTACTCTATGCTGAACTCGATGTACTGGACGCGTTTACCGCGGCATCGATTGTACGAGTAAGCGACAAGAGTTAGAGCACAGCTCACCATGGATTTAGGTTTGGCGCCAGTCTTTCACTTGCGTAGCGCTGCACTAAGTTGTATGAAGGCAGCATCATATATAAATTCAAGTAATGCTAACTTTGCAAGCCGTTTTCATCAAGCGGCGTTTTCGAAAAGCCTTAAATTGAGGGGCAATCGCTCAACGCAGAGCATCTTATGGAGGTCCGCGGCTACAATGGTTCCAGGGCAACGTCGGAAGCCATGCTGGACATCGATGGTGTCAGAAGACGTTACGATGCAGATCTGAATCATACAGTTCCACATGGATAGAGTGGCGCACTAAGCCGGAGTAGTATCGTAGAGCCTATCGGATGATGCAGCCTATAGCAAGTACGATAAAGTAAGTTCCTGTTTAGGTATTGCTTTGCTGAGCAAGGCATAGCTACTGTCTAGTTGCAGTCAAATGAGGCGAGTATACGTACACTAGGACATGAGTGTGGACGTGTCTATCGTCAGTGAGCAAGGTCAATAGCCATAAAGATTGCAAGCGCGTGCTATTACATCTCGTACGCTCACGTCCGAGATACATCATCCCACGATGGAACTAGCGTACTCAGATTTGGATCAAAAGGCTCACGTGACACTACACGGAGTCTTGGTCCAGCGTTGGTGTAGATACCCGTGTACCTGGTGAACCATGCACATTCGGATCGCCTTTACTGAGTATTGGCTAGTGGTGTCTCCTCTTCATGATGGGACGCTAGTGGGCGATAGTGCAGAACGATACTCGTCTTGCTCATACTCCTGAGTAACTAGGCACTGCTGTTCGCACGGAATTCGGCACGGGTCGGCCGGCTAATTTATCTCTTTTCAATAGCACAGAAACACTAGCGCACAACATTGCGGTCCGAAGCATTGATAGCTATTAACCCCCTCGTTTTATAATTGGTTACTATATTTAATTTAGCTAGCATTCCAAGAACCAAAGAATGGTGGAATTAGTGTCTGCTAACAAGCCCTGTAGATGGGGGGGGGTGGTGTGTCGTAAGGTGGACGGGGGGGGGGGGGGGGGGGGGGGGGGGGGGGGGGGGGGGGGGGGGGGGGGGGGGGGGGGGGGGGGGGGGGGGGGGGGGGGGGGGGGGGGGGGGGTGGGGGGCACCCAGGGCGTCAGACCTGTATCACAACTACTTCCCCAAGGGGGGGGGGGGGGGGGGGGGGGGGGGGGGGGGGGCCGTGGGCCTCACATACAAGTGATTACAGGTCACACTTGCGCCAAAGACTGTATGCCATGCTAGAATTCTTGAAGCCGCATCGTAAGCAGTACCAAATTGATTGACACTGGCTTTTTTGCATGTCTTGTTCAGCTTATACCAGAGTCAGCCAAGGTCTAGTCCTCGACTCCGATCACCGCGAACGGTCACTTCTATTGCACGAGACATCTAGTTCTGGAAACTACGCTGCGGTGCCCTGCAAAGTCGATATTCATAGATAAGGCTGATGGCGTTATGCGCTACGAGGCTTTTGGCACTGTGCTCCACGTTGAACCTTGCTGCCAGGATTGTCGGATCGACCATAGGCATATAAGCCTCTGCTCCCGATCGCATACTGCAATGTCATGTGATGACATGCGAGTGTCCTAGATATTTATTATGGGCCTAAACATTTGGACATCACCTTGCCAAATAGTACTAATAAATTGAACTACGTACACTGCCAAGAACCGTAAGTTGCACGTGATGAGGATAAACGTGGCCTAGCGCAATGTAAGTCTCGGAGATGATTCTTTGCGAGATCCTTGAGCACCATTCACACCTGACAACGATCCCTTTGATGAGGAAAGCGAAAACTGCGGACATGCTCCAATCTATTCAAGCCTCTGAGCAGACATGTCTGAGCGCGGAGGGATAATGTTTTCCAGAGAATACCACCTACCTGAGCTGTCAAGGAGGTCACCGACTATTCCAATTAGCTATTGGACAGGCATACGTGCACTAGGCGAATAGAGTCAATCGCACGAGTTGTCCCACACCACGCATTCGAACGCTCTTCGAAAGTCCCAGCGTAGCCACAGTCAGGACAGACTTCCCTCCACTCCTGACATGGGCTCGACGGTCTGTCCGGCAATCCAGCATCGGAGTTCTTAGCAGCAAATATTTAGTTAGCACGGAAACGATTGTCGGCGCCAAATCCGCTGTTGCTATTAGATGCCACTCAGGGAATAATTAAGTGCACTGCTCACGAATACTCCCAGACATCACAGCCCTCCTCCGCACACTCTCCATCATGACCGCTTCTCATCCCCTGTTGATAAAACTGGAGACAGAGAGATCTGGATGGGTAAGTTCGAGAGCACACATTTCCTCGGTCCGAACTAATCTGACCAAAATCCTTTTTTGTTAAACTACCGCCAGTGATTAGTCCACATGAAGAGCTTCATCCACATGTCACCGGAAACCTACAATGAATTTCATCGAGACAACACGTATGTACATAACGCACAAGTCGTGCGCCTCCAATCAGCGTCTTGAGCAAATGCAGTTGATGGGCCACCTGCTCATTGCAACTCTACGCCTAAGCCGAACCATTCTACAGCTCAAGCTCGTCATCTCAACACGCTTCGGTCCCGCTATCAGAAAGGTCAGATTAACCGGCCGAAAAGGCACTATGGACACTCATGTCGCTATCTCACTACTTCTCGAGTTCTTTTCTCTCGCACAACACACAAACTTCTCGTCTCTCGTCGCTATGATGTTGTCTTTGATCGGGGGGTGATCCGCACGATGCATATTCCAAGCCCGGAAGACTCTAGTAAGTAGAGAATAAGCGTTTGGAAACAAGATGTGTTGGCAATGCAACACCGTGGTCACCGCCCACTACACGTCCGGCACGTATCTCGTCCTGGTCCTGGACACATCAGGTGGAGATAGTCTGAGCTGGAACTCAGAGCCTAGCGACTCATGGTTGACGCCATAACTACTATGCCACTGAGATCCGCGAGCAACGCTTGATACAGGGGAAACGAACTCACACACAGCGAATCGTTTCCGCTGTACCAAGCGTTCCTCGCGCATCTCAGTGGCATAGTGTTTATGGCGTCAACCATGAGCCACTAGGCTCTGAGTTCCAGCCCAGCTCAGGCTATCTCCACCTGGTGTCTCCAAACCAGTACGAAACTGCGGTCGTGGGGTGCCACTGTTGGCATTAGCAACACCATAATGTTTCCAACGCTTTCTCTACTTCTAGAGTTTCCGGGCTGGAAATCATGTGGGCCCGATCAAACAACATCAGGACGAACGAGCATTTGTGTTGTACGAGGAAGAAACTCAAAGTGTGAATACGGACCTGTCCATAGTGCCTTTCGGTAAACTGACCTTCTGATAGAGACAACGTTGAAAGAACTGAGCTAATGGTTCGGCAAGCGTGAATACAGTGGCCATCAACCTTGCCAAACCATTAGCCCGGTGGTTTCAACGTTGTCTCGATGAAATGCAGGTTCCGACAATGTGGAAACATGGACTAATCACTCCTATTTACAAAAGTGGTAATTGTTCGGAGTCCTCGAACTACCCATCCAATCACTCTCCTCCCAGTTTTATCCAAAGGGATGGAACGTATAATTGCAGAGGCGCTCATGGGATATCTTGAGAGCAATAATATCCTAGTGTCACAGCAACACGGATTGCGCCGAAATCGATCCTGCACTACAAATTTGCTGCTAGCCCGAGCAAGCTGGACAGAGTCAGCCGATGTCAGAGTGGGAGTCGACGTTGTCTACCTGGACTTCTCGAAAGCGTTCGATCGTTTGGACCACCGCATTCTCCTTCACAAGCTTCAAAGCTATGGAATCGGTGACCCTATACTCGGTTGGATCGGCAACTTCCTCGCTCAACGTCAGCTGAATGTGAGAGTCCGCAGCTCCATTTCCGACCCAATTGACGTCCAGTGTGGCGTGCCTCAAGGATCGGTACTGGGGCCACGTTTATTCCTAACATTCATTAACGATCTTGCCAGTGTACTGCAGTCGAATTTCTTACTATTTGCAGATGATATCAAAATTTGGCATGATATCAGGACATCGGATGATCACATGGCATTGCAGAGCGATCTCGACAGGGCTTATGCGTGGTCATCCGATAACCGGCTCCAGTTCAACGTGACCAAGTGCAAAGTCGTAAGCATACGCCATCAGCTTATCTATGAATATCGACTTGGGGACCAGCAGTTACAACGTGCTTCCCAAGAAAACGACCTCGGGGTGATCGTGCAGGACGATCTTGGTTGCTCGAGACAGGCTGAAAAGGCATCAAAAGAGCCAGTCAACATCTTGGACTCTTACGGAGGGCTTTCGGAAATTTCGAGCCATCAATCTTTCCGCAAATGCTGAACGCCTACGTGAGGCCTCACGTGGAATATGCGATCCAGACCTGGCGTCCCTGGCGCAAGCGCGACATCGATGCACTTGAAGCTCCACAACGTAGAGCGACCAAACTCGTTAGAGGATTGTTTCATCTCTCCTACCAACGCAGACTGCAGTCCCTGAGATTGTACAGTGGTGAATATCGACGTCAGCGAGGAGACCTAATCATGGTTTACTTAATACTGACGAACCCAACTCACCCATGTCGCAATCTGTTGCAGCTGAGCCAAAATACCAACCTGAGAGGCCATCAGCTCAAACTGGCTACGCACTACAGTCGACTTGATTGTCGACGAAACGTTTTCTCCCTCCGTGTGTCCCGTGCCTGGAATGCCCTTCCGACTCACGTTATCCTTGCCCCTACATTAACGCTATTCAAAAACGCCTTGATGAAACGCTTTCAAACTTGCATTACTTGATATAGTCCGTTCCACTTGGAGGACGAAATAACGCAAACCTAACCATGTGCTTAACGGCCCTCTCCGCAACGTGGCGGTGAGGATACATGCAGAAGTGTCCATGTGATTAGCTTGGATGTAGCTAAACTGGATTAACATGCCACATCTGTCAAATGAAGAAACAAACGTGTGTGTTGTCGTTTCCTTTCCTTATTTCTCACGCACTTACTGAACTATAACAGCACTCTATACTATTTTGCGTGTGCACATCCCATTCCCACTTCAAACTATCGTTATGCAGTAGTGCATTTAACTCGGTGGACGCTTGAAAGAATAATTTATTTATTCGATGATCCTTCAACTTTTAATTCTTACGTTAACCATCCTACGGGACTTGTCAAGCACGTGCTTTTTTACCTGTGATAAATCATTGTTCATGGTTCATTGATTAAGTCGCCGTGTGACCAGTATGTCAAGTAGGGAAGACAATTATGTTCCTCTCTCATACGTCACGGTAAGGTTCGAGCGTATACTTTTGAGTGTCTCTGTCACAGGTATGATGTCGTCCGCATAATCCATGATAAACGATATATTATCCACATAAGGCTGGTATATTGTCGCCAATTTTATGCGAACATCGGCCTTCTCTTCATTCATTATCGTGAACACCGACAAAAACGGTCTAGTGGATTGCCCATCGCAACGTCTTCTATTTGCTTTCTTTTGAAAATAATGTTCTTCGTGCACGAAGGTAGCATGTACTGCAACATTTCCGCGGGGAGCTGCAGTCAACTACACTGTTTTGAGATAAACTGACAGAGATGATCAACAGTCTCGTTAGGCGGGATATCGGTGAAGATAGACTGTATATCAAGGGGACACGTTCCACTTTTGGCCAATTTGATGCATTCAAAGTAAGGGATGCGTAAAGGGAATTACCTGTTTCCAACGTTATATCTTATACGCGCCTCGATATAACGGACGCGCGTAAACTAGAGACCCAGTCTACCTTATAAGCCTCAACAGTGACACCCGAAACACTGCCGGCATCCAGTAACGCCCCTGCTTATTTCGAAGCTTTTAGAGATGCATTCAAAATTGTATGTATCAGTCGAGCATGTTGGTACCAGACGAACTTTGTATCTTTAAATTTGCACCCAGTGCTGATGTACGATTTAATCCTATCCTATTGCCGTCCATCTAATGCAGCGGCTAAACTGGTTGTGGGGTATGCGGTCTGGAAAGTACAAAACAATGTTTCTTTACTTCAAATACCGTATCAGTAATCTATCTATTTGAAGTCAGCCTCAAAGTTAGCCACTAGCTGGCTAGAGATAGCACGTCGCAATCCGTTCACATAACGTGTGTCTGGAAATGTCCCCTCCAAATGAATTTCACGGCCGTTCAAACTGAGTTTATATGTAACGTTCGCAATTTGAACTTAACTTTTACGAGCATGAACGCAGGATAATCTGTCACATCACGCAAATGAGGCTTACCTGTGGATCCAGCTAGAGCAAATCATCCATTATTCCTGGATGACACCTATGTTCAAGAAACTATTAGCTACCTTGACGTCCATTAAAAGACATGGGATTGCACTGTTTGACGCTACTGCTTCTCTCGGCCTTTATTACCCACAACCTTGGCACACCTTATTGTACTTAAACATAATCGACTCTGCTTTACCAGCTTTATCCAGTGCATCTACGTTTACACAATTGTATAGCACAGATCATAATTTCATTCTCCACAATGGGAGAAAACCACAGGGCGGGGCGGAGCCTTTAACTCGGTCGTGCGGTTTTCACTGAACATCGCTTTTGCAATATCGCCATGGATACATGAGTTTTCACAGAATACTCCAGTATTGATGTTTGTCAAACTATTACCAAGGTCAACACCGCTGTCTTTTGTCTAATTTTTGAAAATAACTCAAGATACTGCGCTCTTGAAGATGGATAGTCTCGATCAGAAACCTAACTTGCAATACTGGCCACCCAACAGAATGCGACTTTGGGTCATTCTATCCGGAATGGTTTATTTGTTGCCCCTTTATACTGACCATTTACTCAACTGACACTTATACACAGTGTCCTTTTCCATTCATATACATCTAAGGTTCTGATAATGTAATTTTAGGTAATCCGTAATCAATATGCTAAAGTGCTGAAAATGTACTCATCTTGATACACAAAGCTTATTTTGTTTTGTCTTGTACTTTGAACATTAGTTTCGACGTAACCCACCCGCATAACAACTGTATAAGAATTCCTAATGACGTATCTTACGAAGCCTTCGTCCCGCTCAATGACCCCCTTGATGTGATACCCAATACCTGGGATCGACCCAAATTTTACGTGTGCGGGCTCTCAATACAGATTCCGTAACATGACGACAACTTTCCTCTGTGTTCATTTGCACTCTTAGAATTTGTCCCATCAAATTCAGTCGCACACATGTTGAACTACTTTCAACGCCAGTAAAGTCCGTTCTCGCTTAACATCGTACCACCCGGTTGAAGGAATCCATAGTGAGCAGCATGCTTGTATACGATATTCCCGAGGATGAGGGAAGCGATCACGCATGACCAGGAGCATTAAGGTTACATTCGCGCGATCCTCTCCTTGAAGAAGGTCATAATGCAAACGATTTCAAGGCTACGTAGCTCAACAAATTACAAAGATCCACCAAATTTACTTTAATGCCGTTAGCTCCTGTGACAGGATGAGCCGGCTTCACGAATGTCGTTGATTGCAGCTGCCCAAACTCGGTGATCGGTGGCAAGCTCCACTCAGATACTGATTTAATGATTTTTCCAGTCACGAGCTACATGCACAACCTGGAGTCCCAGAAGATCGACATCCGATTTTACTGCAGTGAACCAGGTACAAAGAATCAGGCCCAAGGATTGTAAAGGTGGTGCCTCAATTCCGACAAATGTCAACAAGGGTGTTGCATTGCTTGTATTTGGGTGGCAGTGTCCCACCTCCCGAGCTCC